TCTGTCTCTGTCTGTCTCTGTCTGTCTCTGTCTGTCTCTGTCTGTCTGTCTGTCTGTCTGTATTTTCAGCACCACGTTATTGAGATTGCACAATCATTCGATTGGACTCAATTCCACCTCACACTCAGCCCAGTCCGACATGAGAACATCGTGACCTTTTCGGTACTCAGGACAAAGAGAGACACATACCGGAGCCGGTGATGAACGCAGTTTCGCAGTTTCAGCATCCTCCATACACTCCTTTCCTGACTCCAACGTAAGATTGATTTGGCCCTTGGCCATGGTGAGTTCATTATCCTTTCAGCATGCTCAGATTTTAGGCAAAGCTAGCTTACTCGAGTCGAGGCTCATGAAAACCAAGGCTAAAAGTGACAGAGGAGAGAATGGTTACAGTCTCGAGAGCACTCGACTGCATTGAAAAATGCTAGACTAAATTAAAATATGTGTATATATATACATCATTATATATATATATATATCATGAATGATCAGTGACAACGCACACAGATTGCCCACGACGTTTGACTCTATGTATTATGTAGATGCTGGTTCCTTCGAGCTCGTTGGACACGTGTCGATGTTATCCATTAGTCCTCAGAGCTCGAGAGTGTAAACTCCCCTCCGAGTTTTGCAGGGTGGTGGCTATGCCTCTCGAGTGTTGGCTGAGACCCAGAAGACCAGCACCACTCCTGTCGGCGGGCGTGCTACTCAACAAACACAGGCATACTCAACGGAGATTTGAAACAGTTCTCCAGATAGCAGCATACAAAATTCTGCAAGAAACACAGGTTTTGCTTTCCTGTTGTTTTGTGACCTGCACTTCTGAGTTTGCTTGTTTCGCAGCCATTTCTCTCATCTCGGGCAGCCATCATGACCACCGTGCATGTGCGGCGAGAGCCTCAAGGGCCTCAAGGCATCGTTTTCTCTCCGCCAGGCCCCGTCCTTCAAACAGCCCAGGCACCTCAAGGGCCGCAGCTTGCCAGGTTGGCAAGAGCCCGTAGCAACTCCCCAAGAGTCTTGTGGACAGCCGAGACAGGCCAGCGTGCTCGCTTGGTTGCAAAGGCACAGGCAGATGTTTGCATTGCCGTGGCAAGGGTTGCAACCAGTACCCCGGATCTTCAGCACGGCCAAGGTGGCCATGCGGAGAGCCCAAGAAAGGAAATTCAAAAAATTGCAAGACAGAGGTCGTTCTCTCCACGAATAGAACAGCGGGCACTGCATCGAGCCAATTCAGCTCCCCCAGTCCATCTCCAGGCTGCCCCTGTCCATCTTCAGTCGACTCCAAATGGAACTCCGAGAGTTGGCTACAGAGGGGTTCGAGGAGCAAACCCAAACCCACTGATAGCTCGAGCTAGCCCGGCTCAAGTTGCTCAAACACCGCGAAGTCCAGGGCTTCCAACTGGTCGACCACCCAACAGCCCGGTCAAACCACCTCTCCAACAGCAGTCCCCTGTGAAGCGTGCAGCTTCTGCTGGTGTGCAGAACGCCTTTGGTATGGAGCATCCACCCAGGAAGGCGCAAACTCCATCTCCCAGCCCCATGCAGCGTCATAGGGAAGCTTGGATGCAAATGAACAATTCAATGGACGGCTGAGACCCTTTCATATCCTTTCATGTCGCTCTCTTTCGTGTCAAGAATGTGTTTCGCCTGGAAGTCATTTAAATTAAGGATGTTGCCATGGTCAAGGCTTCCTCGACGCCACGCTTGCCGCACCGAAATGTGCAAAGCCCCCAGGCACTGAGGGTGCGGGGATGACAGGAACTCCAGACCAAACTTCGTTAGTCTGAGGAGGGAATCGTACCAAAGGAATTTGATGCTTTTCAAGCAAGGAAGAAAGAAAGGAAGGAAGGACGGAAGGAAGGAAAGAACGAAAGCACGCAAGAAGCACGCACGGTCCAAAGGTCTAGAGAGAAAGAGAGAGAGAGAGAGAAACAAAAACGCCAGTGCGCTTCAGGGCACGCCACGATGGATGGTCTCGCCTCAAGCAAGGGCCGAAGAGCTGGAACGGGAGAAGCGTGCCTTGATTGAACTTGGTAAGAACCTCTGAGGAGGAAAGGGGAACAAGTTCCAAGCAAGTTGGTTCCTGAACTCATGCTCTATTCGCACGAAATCAGACATTGGCACCAGGTTTGATAGGACGCTTTTCAAGCAGTTCCACAGACGAACTGCACACGGTGTTTCCAACATTCAATGGACACTCACAACTCAGACAGATGGACTCATCCTTACAGGCTCCTCTAAATTACAGGTGTTGATGCATTGCAAAGACGCAGACCGCTGTACGAACTGAAGGCAGCCGGGAAGAGCGCTTGAAGCGTTTGGAGGTGGAGACACGAGAGGCCCGACAACGGCTACAAAATCGTTTACACGCTTTGGAACAGCAGCAGGACGGATCCATGCTACAGCCCTGACATGCAGTGATTTTCTGTGAAGCCTCAAATTGATTGCTGGTGTATGGAATCTCTTCTATCTTCAGTGCTATTGTTTTGGATTCCTTGGGATCCAGGAGTACATGGAGAACTTGAATGCCATGGCTAAGGACGCTGGAACCTGGGAGGTAGGATCCAGGAAAAGGTTTTTGCAGCAGGTGTTCAACTCTACGTAGCTTTTGGAGCGTTGCCATAGATTCTCAATGATCTTTGTCTTTCGGCTCTTGACTCAAGCCACCTAGGTACTCAACAATCTAACCCAAGAGGAGATGGAACAAACTTCAATCATAGCCATTTTGTTCTGAAGACTCGGACACTTCAACATAATATGGAGAACAAAAAGGACAGTTTATGAACCATGCAACAGCAGATCGGCCAGCAGCCATGGCACTTGGAAAGGAGGGCATCCTGGCATGAGGGAACCCTTGGATTCAGCTGACCTTGTGGCATGCACAATATTTGCCTGTGCAGGTTTGCTAGCGCTTTGTGTGTGGCGATACTGGTTCTATTTCCGACAGTTGCTCCACTTCTGCACGGGGAAGAAATTGGCAAAGAAATATGATGCAATCCCAGAATACTGGGAGAATGCAGGGAAGTCTCTCAACGATGCCTTTGATCGATCCAGCCCCGATTATTTTGATGACATATACCCTGTGCCATTGCAGAACCGGGAGGTTCTACAACAGTTTTTGAATGAAACTAGCTCAAATGAAGAAATCCACTTTCAGCTGGTTCGGGCCGTTCGAGTGGAACACTCAAGGCTTTGGAGTGAATATCAGTCACTGGCACAAGAAGTTGGACGAAGGAGAAAGTGTGGTTTCAAAGGACATGGGGCCCCAACTACAAATCAAGCCTTGACGAGCGTCGAGAGCTGGGGTGGCTGGTATGGTGGCTTTGTTCATGAATTGAACGAAGATATTTGCGAAGCATACCTTTTCCATGGTACAGAGCCGCATTCTGCACTTAAGATTGTAGAAGGTGGCTTTCAAGTGAAGCATGCCAGCCGCGCTGGAAAGAGATTCGGAATTGGTGGCTATTTTTCAGAAGATCCAGCAGTTGCAGACAAATATGCAGGGGAGGGAGAGGGGCTGTACAAAGGTTGTTATGCAATGCTGCTTTGCCGCGTCATCCTGGGTGAACAACTTCACACAAAGATGTTCCGAAGAGAAGACTCAGCGGCGGAAGCTGCTCGCAGTGGCTATGATTCTATTCTGGCTGAGCCACATGGCACTTTGCATCGGGAGTTTGTGGTCTTGAACGGCAAGCAAATCTATCCAGAATATGCTTTGGTTTACGAGCGTCAGGGTGTTGACTTTGGTATGTGCCCTTCACCTGTGAACCGATATTGGGCAGACGAAAATGCAGTTGTTGAGGCAGGCTTCTTGCCGGCATATTGGTTCCATGCAGGACAGCAGGGACAGCAAGCTGCCACTTTTCATGAAACCCATCCTGATCCGCAAATGAAAGTCGTTTTGGATGAGCTGCTCAGCAAAACTTGGCTGCTGGATCTAGTCTTCCGACAACCATCGCCTGAGTCGCCTCCGTCACCTCTTAGAACGGCTCGATCTCCGTGCGTTGACATCACCATGAGTTTACGCTGTTTAAAAGTTGTTCGCGTGGAGGATTCAGAGATGTGGTGCCATTATCGTGCTGCACAGCAAGCCGTGGCTTCCCGTGGGTCACTCCAGCAGATAGATGTGCATAGCGTGGAAGCCTTGCCAGAACGGGAGCATCGGCGCTTGAAGGATGAACTCAACGAAGTGTATTTGTTCTACGGATCATCTCCGCAAAATGTGATGTACATTGCCCACCATGGCTTTCCAGTGACAATGTCTGGTGACATCTTGGGGCTGGAGTTTGGAGAAGGTGCCTATTTGCATGAAGATGCTTCTGAAGCAGACAAACGAAGTAGTGATGACAAAAACGGCTACTACAAAGGATACTTTGCAATGCTTCTTTGCAGAGTCACCCTTGGAGCTGTACAAGTGCTGCAAGCGCAAGATACACAGGCGCATTTTAGAGTGGGTCCTGACAAATCCTTTGATAGCACAGTTGGAACCTATGGCGACCCCGTTTCTGGTATGGGTTTTGTCCGTCGTGTGTTTGTTATTACAGACCGATCTCAAATCTACCCAGAATATGCCATCATATATGAACGCAACACCCAACGCAAGAGAAAGTCGAAATGCTCAGAGCAACGCACGCTTCCCAGTGATCGTGTTGAGGGTGAGCGCATACTGCTGCTGTCTTGACAACAACATCATGCCTTGGACTTTGCGAATGAAGTTGGGCGTTGAACACTTGACTTTAACTCCTGGAGGCGTACTCTTGGAGGTGAACAACAGGTGGGATGTCAGTGTTTATCCATGTTGTGACTGGGAAACCAGCCGGCACCACATTCCTCGCGTGATGACCCAGCTCATGCTCGTGATACTCAAAGATTTGTGGCCGAAGTTGGCCATGTTGGATGTCAGCAACCTGCCCTCCGAGGAAGTTGGAGGCAGCCAAAAGAACAATTCTTTTGGCGAGACACTCTGCCAAGATGCATACCTTTGATGCCACTGTAGCCTGAAGAAAAATGTGGCCTTTCTAGCAACATCCAACCATGCAAGTGGAAGGGAGGTCTCTGATACAGCGTCCAGGACAAGGACCGGCCTTGCTTGGACAAGCCCAAAAAGCAGGGCATTGAAGACACTTGGCTCCATGTTTTGCACTTGTTGAACATGATTGTTGACAAGCGCATACCAAATGAAGCCGAATCCGTGAAGACTGGTGTAACTTCTTAATTCTTGGGAACCATGTTCTCAAGGAGTGTCCTGAAGCCAAGAAGCAAGTTTGTGAAGCTTGGCCCATAATGTTATGCTGTATTCAGGGGCCATGCCACAACTACACATAACATTCAAGACCTGTGAGTATCATATCCGAGTTTGCTGTTGCTGGTCTTTCGCAGCTTGCAATTTCTCAACTTCTTGCTTGTGGTGGCACACCAAACTATTCCCCGCAAGAAATCTCTTTGGGACAGATCTGAATTGACAGTGAAGGTTCTGGAGGCTTCAGCTTAGGAGTCAAAGCCTGAAGACCAAAAAAGAAAGCCTTGCAACCTGGCCCGGCCACTTGCCTGCAGGCTTTTGCGCTTTGTGTCAACACACGTACCTTTGACAATACCCTTCTGGCTGAGTTGGAAATGATACATTTCGGTACATTTCGCACATTTGTCACTTTTGTGGATGCGTAAGTACTGTGGTTCTGTGAAATGCTCTACTGACTTTG